AGTGAGGTGTCTCTCTGCCACTGGACCACATAGCCAGTCACCACTGAGCCACTGGGAACACTACCAGATATGGTGATGGTAGTCGTAGTGACTGTTGGAGTTGAGTCGAGGACTGGAGCTGATGGAACTGTGGAACAGAGTCTCAGTATGAAATACTGAAGAACACGCAATCGTGGAGAACTGCACATATATCGTAACATTGGCAGCAGATGGAAGAGATATTCCTACATACACACAAGTGGAACATACCTAAACCAACAGTGGCCTGTACTGGTGCACTAGACAGACCATTGGTTGTAGCTACAATGGATATGGTGTAGGTCTGTCCATTGGTGAGACCAGTCAGAGTGTGACTCATAGTGTTTCCACCACTGACAGTCTCACTACCACTGCTGCCTCCTCCAGTGAAGGAGATGGTGTAGCCAGTGATACCATCCAGAGGAGAGGAGGAGTCCAGGTCACTGTGATACTAGTGGGACCATCCTGGACTGCTGTCACATCAGTGGGAGGTGGGGGACCTAAATTAAAATGCATGACGGACCACAAGGAGCCATGGCACAGACAAATGAATCACTCTCTTAAACACATTGCTAGGCGGCCAATGTTCTTCACTCCAAACCTTTCTACTATCTAAAGTTTCCTTTGATTCGACCGAAACATTACGGCATACATGTGCTCCATGCCCATTAAGTGGTGTTGTCATTCAAGGAGTCATGTGACAATCTAAGTTACAACCCAGCTACAGTTTTCCCTACGAGTGGAGGTGAAAACAATTTCTGAGGCATTATAGACACACACGTAAAATGTGTCGTTGGCCATATGTACAATGAAAAGCACTAAAGTGCAAACCCTCGGCGAACTGCGCATGCGCGGTACCACTAATTGATGGGCTGGGCTATTGCCTATTAGTATGCGTTTACTCGTGGTATCCCGCTAGTACCTCGCAGAGAGTCTGACACGGCTAGCTACAGTCGAGGTAGGATAGCAGGCGAGATGTCGTATACATGCATCGTTGTGACTGTATTGTGCCTTCAAGATTACACAGAGCGAACGGAGCGCAGGTCGAGGGTAAGGCCTGTGCTAATTTACACATATGGCTTGTCTCACTTGGTTTTCACGCCATAATGAAACACAGTAGTTTTACGTAAATCGCCTTTTTAAAAAATCAACCCGAGTGTAGCACTGACCGATCACATATCGCTATTACCGTGATTCGTCGCGCGCGGTGGCAGTAAACGTCGTGTTAACAGTATGCTAGTGCGGACGGATGATCCTGGATGGGTCCATTTGGTGGAAAACAGTGAAAAGTTGGTACAGTTTCGTGCGCATCGGGGCAGCAAACGTTGGTACTGTTCGTGCGCACCGTGGCAGAAAACGTGGGTAACAGTCGTGCGCACGGTGGCAGAAAACGTGGTAACATTTTTTGTGTCGTGCGCACGGTGGGCCACAGAAACGTGGGTAACAGTTTTTCGTGTGACGTCACGGTGGCAGAAAACGTGGTAACAGTTCGTGCGCACGGTGGCAGAAAGAATGGCAGAAAACGTTCGGTACAGTTCGTGCGCACGTGGCAAGAAACGGTAACAGTTCGGTGCGCACGGTGCTTCGGCAGGAAACGAAACGTGCTGGTAACAGACAGACAGACAGACAGACACACTTACGGGACAACTACAGTAACCCTCGCTGCGCATGCGCGCCGAGGGTTAATGACTAGGCACAATCTCAACACTGTACATACATAGTACTGACTGTATATACCTGCTACGTTGGTGCTAGCTGAAGCAGTAGATGGCTTGTTAATTGCCACAGTACAAGTGTATAGTCCTGCAGTAGTCACAGTAAACGAACACACAAGTGTGGGTGTACTGTGCAGTCACTGGTCTCCACACACGTCTGGGTTCCTTGGGTGATAGTGGTGGAGTCTCTGGTCCAAGTGACAGTGGTAGCAGGTCCACCAGTGGAGATACAGGTGAGGGTCAGCTGGTCAGGGTCAAATGTCAATCCATATATTGAAACAGTTCCTGAGCAAAAAGTGTGCGGTATATTTAGGGTAGCGGTAGTGTTATGTGTAGCTAGTAGCATTATTAGCAGATAGGTTGGTATTTATGGTAGGTAGCATAAGTATATATAAGAAGAGTTATATGGGTGATGAGAGTAGAAGAAGGTGTAGATGTAGTTATAGCAGGAAGGGTATGTGAGGTTGTTATAGCGTGGTTTATTAAGTATAAGTTAGTTTATGGTGAGTTAGCAGAATGTATATTTAGCTAGCGGTGGTATTGTAATTAGCAGATAGTATATGAGGGAGCAGATAGGTAGGGTGGGGTGATGTATAGGAAGACGTCGTGGGGTAGATGTATTATGTTTAGAAGAGATAGGCTTGCTGAGCATCGGTTAGAAAAGAAGTTATATGTATAGCTAGCAGAATTCTGTATAGTAGCAGATGAGACAGATAGCGTTAGCTTAGGGTATATTTTTAGTAGAGGTATATTAATTTAGCAGAGTCTAGCACTAGCAGTAGTATTAGCAGGGTTAGCAGAGTATTTAGCAGAGTATATTAGCTTAGCAGATTATAGTGTACTAGGGGTAGAAGAGGGGGTAGTAGCACAGGGTGTTTAGCAGATAGCAGAATTACAAGTAGCACAGTATTAGTACAAAGCCCCTAATACTTATCATCCCATGTTATGTATAATGCGTGAATTACAACAATACTAGACCTATAGCTATAGCCTGTTTTCCGCTAATTCATGAGACAGTGTTAGTTCTCTACATGCTTGTATGCATATATTTAAGATAAGGAAATATATACTGGGTCATTTTTGTGAATAGTATTACTGGCTGAAATTTGGTGGTATGTATCACAAGGGGTGATGACATATTATCTATCTCACAGCAGTAAACATGCACTATGTCCCTATCTTATCTTCATCTAGGGTTCTCATTCAGGCTCATCCAATAAAAGGAGGAGAATTTTTTAATTGTTGTGTGTGATTCAATGTAGATTACTGGTATAGTGAACTCCATAATATTTTGCTAAAATCTTCTCATTGTCATACCTCCAATGGCAGTATACAGTCCCACATAGACTGGTGTGTCTCTCACTGAGGTGTCAGTATCATCATTGACAGCAATAGTTGGAACATCACAGCGATAGATACCAGCAGTTGGTGAGTTAATACCAATGTTACGACGTAAGTCAACTCCCTGAGATACACGAGCCTCATAGGTATCAACATTAAATGCAGGGAAAGGCAGTCTAGTTCCATCAGGGAAATACCAGTCTCCACGATGAGGACCATCAGTACTAGTACAACATGTGGCCAGGTCAGTGATACACTGAACACCTTCACCACCACCACCAGCATCAGGTCTCCCCACTTGACTGAGGTCCACATAGGAATGGTTGACCAGAGTCTGGTCCATGAAGGACACATAAGGAAAGCTCTGAGAGTGGACCTCCACCAGAGACCAGAGGAGAACAGTCAGTAACAATGACACCATCATCTAGTTACACAAGAAGACATTCAACATAATGACTAGGAGCCAATATGAACACGATATTGGGTGACAGATTTAAACACACATGAAAGCCCTGTTACTAGTGAGGTGAGGCAAACTTGCTACGGTCAATCTGAATAAGCCTGAAGTTGGTAATGTATTAGCACAGACTAAGAGGGGAGCAGTACAAGCTGCTTGTTACCAGCAAGTGAGGCTGAGTTACAGCATAAATATGAAAAGCACTGAAGTGCAAACCCTCGGCAAACTGCGCATGCGCCATACGGCTAATTGATGGGCTGGGCTATTTGTATGCGTTCCTCCACGCTAGTAGCTCGCGGAGAGTCTGGCACGGGTTAGCTACAGTAGGGCTTCGTTGTGACTTATTGTGCATTCAAGATACACAGAGCTAGCGGACCGGTTGAGGTTGCGATCGAGGTCAGCTGTGCCGTGTGTTTCGAACACATACGCATGCACACAGCTAATTGATGGGTTGGGTCACGCAACTTGGTCTGCCAGTTTCTCGGTCTCGAACGCAGCGCAGTCGTTTCAGGAAAATCGCCTAATTATTTTTCAGGTTCGCATACTTCTGAAGACGTTAGTATCGCTCATGGGCAGCCTCGTTGCCTGTAGTGTGAGGATACAAGCTGCTGACAGACGGACAAACACAGACCAAGTACCGTAACCCTCGCTGCGCATGTGCACCGAGGGTTAATGAGGGGCAATCCCCCCTCTGAATGCTTCCTCTCACCATAGTCACATGTGAAGTGACACTCACTGCCTGATATCAAGTTATGTCACCAAAAATTTTTACCTGAAAAATTCCACAAAACTTTCTTCAAAAATGTTGTGCCTTTAGGCTCTTGGTTTCATGAAAAGTTGCTACTTGAGCACGACCATCCTGCTACCATAGACTGCCACACATGATTTCGTTTGTCTGCTATCATTGTCACGTGATACTGTCGCACCTTCCAGACCACACGATAAGGATCTGGCGACTACTTTGGTTATGTTGTCTTATGAGACACCGAATCAGATACAATTGCATGTAATCGTTCGAAATGCAGCTCCCATACCTGCAAAGCCCCGAATGTGTCATGCAGTGTCAGCATCACTACGAATACTGAAGCATGTTACTTATGGTTTGATCTACCAAGAATTGGGTTGATACTTTGTTTGAGGTTCAAGTTATTTGGGACA